CCAATTCCAACTAGTTAGCCCTGAAGTCATGTACATACAAGTAACTTTACACAGACTAATTGGTTATATTTATATATTTAAGAATGTATATACATATGTAACAATAACTAAATAAATAGGGCCATGAATTTGAGAGAGAATAAGGGGGCGGGAAAATGAGGACAGCTGGAGGTAGAAAAGACAGAAAATGATATAATTATATTTCAATTTCAAAACTAAAAAATATTTTTAAAGGAATATTATTTTGTTGTGGAATAATCTTTTTGTACACTGTGTGAAGATGTGTCTGTCCTTCCTTACCTGCCTAAGGCATCTTCTGTTCGGTTTAATAAAGAGCTGAAAGGCCAATAGCTTGACAGGAGAGGATAGGCGGGACTTCCAGGGACAGAGAGGAATTTAGCGGGGTGGGGTGGGGGGTGGGGGTGGGGTCTGAGAGGAAGAAACAGGGAGGAAGTAGGATGTGGATATACTGTACTGACTGAGGAGAGGTAACAAATCACATGGCAGAACATAGATTAATGTGAACGGGTTGATTTAAGTTATAAGAGCTAGTTAGGAATAAGCCTAAGCTAAGGCCAAGCTTTCATAACTAATAAGAAGTCTCCATGTCATTATTTGGGAGCTGGTGGTCCAAAGAAAGTCCTGTTACATTCTTTCCCAGTGAATTGTCTTGCCACCCTTGTTAAAAAGACAGTTGCTTGGAAAGGTAAGGTTTATGTCTGGAGTCTTGATTTCGTTCCAGTGAACAATATATCTCTGTTTCTGCTTGTATTACAGCACCTCGAGTTTCGAAGCTTTGTAGTATGCCTTTAGAAGCAAGGGTCCTCTGATTTGTTTATTAGCGTCTTTGTGTATTTATTTATTTATTTATCGCATGTCATGTTTGCAAAGTCAGTTGGAATCTTGGTGGGGGTTTCTTAAACCTGTAGATGAACTTGGAGGATGTGATGGTTTGTGCTAATTGTCAACTTGACTGAATCTAGAAAAAAAATGTCTATAGTCGTGCCTATGGGGGATTACCTTGATTACATTCATTGATGTAAGCAGACACATCTTGATTGTGGGTAGGGCCGTTCCCTGGACAGGGATCCTGGACTGTACAGAATGGAGAAAGCAAGCTGAACATGCATCCATTCTTCTGTTTTCTGATTGTGGATGAGATGGGACCCACTGCTTCACACCCCTGCAGCCTTGACCCTCCACCACCATGGACTGTGTCTTTAACTATGAACTTAAACACACACACACACACACACACACACGCACGCACGCACGCACGCACACACACACACACACACGCACACGCGCGCGCGCGCACATACACAGAGAGAGAGAGAGAGAGAGAGAGAGAGAGAGAGAGAGAAGTAACTTTTTTCCTCTTAAGTTACTTTTGTCAAGGCACTGTATCACAGAAATAGGAAAAGAAACTAAGATAGAGGATGTTGCCCCTTTAACAATGTTATAATTTCAACTTAGTATCTTCCAACCATATCCCATAGTTTTCGTGTTTTACATTTACTTCATGAAGAATATCCTTAAGCACTTTATTCTTCTTATATTTCAAATGGTCTTTTTTTTTTTTTTTTTTTTTGGTGTTTTGAGACAGGGTTTCTCCATGTAGTTTTGGTGCCTGCCCTGGATCTCGCTCTGTAGACCAGGCTGGCCTCGAACTCAGAGATCTGCCTGGCTCTGCCTCCCGAGTGCTGGGATTAAAGGCATGCGCCACTGCCACCAGGCTTCAAATGGTCGTCTTTTTAATATCATAATCTTAATATGATATTCTTAATGTCATCTTCAAATCATCCATACATAATATATAAGCAGATAAAAAGAACGGAATTTCTTATATGATCTGATTGTTTGCAAATTCCAATAGGATTTACTGAATTCTTTTAGATTGCCTATATGGCAGATCATATTGTCTGCAAAGAGAATTCTAATTATTTTAAATCTGAATGTCTTTTATTTCATTTTCTTGCTCAGTGATTTTGGGTGGAAACTTATCCACAAGGTTAAGTAGATGTGGAAAGGGAACATCTTTTTCTTTTTGTATCTAAGCAGAAAAAGCTTTAGGCTTTAACTATAAAGCATCATAGCAATTGCTTTTAAGATTTATTTATTTATTATGTATACAGTATTCTGTGTGCATGTATGCCAGATCTCAACCACCATGTGGTTGCTGGGAATTGAACTTTGGATCTCTGGAAGAATAGCTAATGATCTTAACCACTGAGCCATCTGTCCAGCCTCCAATTACTGATTTTTAATAGGCAGCTTAATCTGACCAATTAATTCCCTTCTATTCTTAGTTTCTTTTTTTTCCTTCAGATCTTTTCTTTATTCTTTTGCATTCTCTATTCTTTATTCTCCTGGTGATTTCCTTCTCTAATTCTTTTTTTTTTTTATTTATTTTTTGAGACAGAGTTTCTCTGTGTAACTTTGCGCCTTTCCTGGAACTCACTCTGTAGACCAGGTTGGCCTCGAACTCACAAAGATTCACCTGCCTCTGCCTCCCAAGTGCTGGGATTAAAGGCGTGCACCACCACCACCCGGCTCTTCTCTCATTCTTGATGTTTCCCTTCTAGTTTATTCTTAGTTTCTTGGTTATATTTTTTTCCCCATGAAGAACTGTTGAATTTTATCAAATGCTTTGTTTTTTCCTTTGGTCAACTGATGTATGTTATATAACTTGATCCTCATATACTAAATATGCCTTTTATTCTTGGGGTAAATCCCACCTTGTCTTGATATAAAACACATCTTATAAGGTGCTGGAATCAATTTGTTAATACTTTGTTGAGGACTTTTACATCTCTATAGCAAATGCTTATCTGTAGCAACTTACTTTGTTATGTCTTTGTATGTTATTTTGTGTGTGTGGTGTTGGAAAAATCCTCATATCACAAAAAAACTATGACGTGTTCCCTCCTCTTATATTTTGCAGAAGAATTTTTTAAGATCAGCATTAAATGTCTGTTAGAATTCATTGATGATTTCATCTGGTCCTGGGCTCATCTGCTGGGCAGTGTCTTTATTGCTAATTCAATTTTTTGTTATTGTCTATGGTATGTCTATGATTTCTACTTGGTTTTTGTTGTTATTTTGTTTGGTAGGTTTTTGGAACAGGGCCTTGGTTTGTAGCCTGGGTTGGCTTGGAATTTATGTAGCCCAGAATGGATTCACACTAATGGTGCATCCTCCTCCTTCCTCAGTCACTAAGCGCTGGGAGTCCAGCTCTACACCATGGCCATCACGCTCCACACCAAGACCACCATGCTCCACACCGTGGCCATTATGCTCCACACCATGGCCACCATGCTCCACACCATGACCACCAAGCTCCACACCATGGCCATCATGCTCCACACCATGGCCATCATGCTCCACACCATGGCCATCATGCTTCACATATCACTCAGATTTCTATTTCTTTTAACTCTGCTTAGTAGCTTGTGAATTTTTAAGAACTTGTCCATTTTTACAGGCTATTTAATTTTCTAGATGTAGTTACTTACAGTATTCTCTTATAATCATTATTTCTGGAGTGTTTGATAGCAACATGTCAACCCACTTTAATGTCTGATTTTAGAATTTCCTTTCTTTCTTTCTTTCTTTCTTTCTTTCTTTCTTTCTTTCTTTCTTTCTTTCTTTCTTTCTCTCTCTCTCTCTCTCTCTCTCTCTCTCTCTCTCTCTCTTTCTTTCTTTCTTTCTTTTCCCCTCTTTTTGGCTTGGTTAACCTACCTATTGATTTGAGAATTTTGCTGACCTTCTTGAAGAATCAACTTTTGAAAAATTGATTTTTCTTTATTTTTCCATTCCAATAATTTCTACTGTAATCTTCATTTTCTTTTTATGTTACTTTGGGTTTAGTTTGCTCTTCCTTCTCGGGGGCCTTAAATTGGAAGAGTAGGCTATTAATCCTTCATTTTTGTATATTTACAGTTGTAAATTGTCCTCCAAACAGTATCTCACTGTATACATAGGTTTTAGTGAAATCTCCGTTTCATTCGGTTCACAGCATTTCTTCATTTCCCTGGGGTACTGTTCTTTGGTTATTGGTTACTTTTCGTGTGTGAAACTAATTGTCACTTGTCCGGGAAACTCCAGACTTCTTTGTGTTGTTGAATTCTAAGTTCAACTCCATTTCCAGAGGATGTCTGCTGTACTGTTTGGCTCCTTGTAAACTTACAGTGCCTGTTTTATGGCCTTCCTTGTGGCTTGAAAGGAGTGTGTACACAGCTTTAGCTGAATGACACATTCCAGAGACGTCTGATAGCTCTAGGCAGTTCATAATTGGTACTGGTCAATTTTTTTTTTTTTTTTGCTTTATTGATCTGCCTATTGTATCAACTGTTTTTGAAAAGGAGTCATTGATATCTCTAAAACCGTTTCTTCTATTTTTTTTAAAAGAAGATGTATTCTACTCTATGTACATGTGTGTGTTGCCTGCATGTATGTATGCACACCACACTCATGCCTGGTGACTGAAGAGGTCAGACAGGGGCACTAGGTCCCCTACAACTGGAGTCACAGGTGGTTGTAAGCTACTATGTGGGTGCTGGGAATCAAACCTGGGTCTTCTGCAAGAGGAACAAGTGCTCTGAACTGCTGAGCCATCTCTCCAGCCCCTCCATTTTTTTTAAGACCTCATGAATGCTAGGCCAGAATTCCATCACTGAGCCACACTCCCAGCCCTCTACCTTCCATGTGTTTTGGATTTCTATTGCTGGATACGTATGCTTTTATAATTATTGTATCTTTCTTGTAGCTTAAGTTCTTTTTTTTTAAACAACAAATAAGGAAAGCTTTACCATTATAAAAGATCAATCTTTTTCTCCAGAAAAGAAATTTTTGCTTTAAAGTCTCTTTCCTAATATTGTATGGTCACTCCAGCTTTCTTTCCTTTCCTTTCTTTCTCTCTTTCTTTCTTTCTTTCTTTCTTTCTTTCTTTCTTTCTTTCTTTCTTCTTTCTTTCTTTCTTCCTTCTGTCCTTCCTTCCTTCCTTCCTTTCCTTTCTTTCTTTCATTTTTTTCCTGCTGTCTGTCTGTCTTTCTCTCTTTCTCTCCTCTCTTTCTTTCTTTTTAAATCATGAGTGTTGTCTTAGTTAAGGTTTCTATTGCTATGAAGAGACACCATGTCCATGGCAACTCTTATAAAGGAAAATATTTAAAATATTTATAGTTTCAGAGGCTCAGTCCATTATCCACATGGTGGGGAGCAAGGTGGTGTGCAGATAGATATGGTACTGGAGAAGTAGCTGAGAGTCCTACATCTTGCAGGCAACAGGAAGTCAATTCAGACACTGGTCAGTATCCTGATCATAGGAAACCTCAGACCCTGCCCCCACAACAACACACTTTCTCCAACAAGGCCATACCCACTGCACCTAAAGTGTGTTTCCTGTGGGCAACATATTTTTTGCATCTATTCTGATCTCTCTGTTCAATCTATCACATTTAATTTTGACTTGAGCATTTGAAACTCCAAAGCCTAGCACAGTGGCACACTTCCTCCAACAAGGCCACACCTACTCCAACAAGGCCACACCTCCTAATCCCTGTCAAATAGCATCACTCTCTAATGACCAAGCATTTAGATATGGGCCTATGGGCCCACTCCACAGAGGCCATTCTCATTCAAAGCACCACAGTTAGATTTACACTTAATTTCAGTGATATTTAAAAGTATGGTTTATTTACATAGCCACTTCCTTTCTCTTTCTGCAGCATTACTACTACTACTACTACTACTACTACTACTACTACTACTACTACTATTATTTTGTTTTGTTTTTTGAGACAGGGTTTCTCTGTGTAACCTTGGCTGTTCTGGAACTTGCTCTGTAGACCAGGCCGTCTTGATCTCACAGAGATGCACCTGCCTCTGTCTCCTGAGTGCTGGGATTAAAGGCGGTGATATTATTTTTATGTACATTATAATCATATATATCACAAACCCAGAAATACATTGCTATAATTATTAAGCATCATAATTGATCCTCTTGGCTCTACCTCCCCAGTGCTGATATTGTAGGTGAGCACCAGCACTCTTTGTTTATTCCATGCTAGGGATCGAACCCAGGGCTTTGCGCATGCTAGGCAACTAGTCTACCAACTGAACTATATCCCAAGAACAATACATGATGGTGTTTGCCAGTGTCTGCTTCTTTGATTTGGTGAGGGTTGACGTTACTTTCTCTCACCTCTGGCCTAAAAAACTTCTTTTATAGTTCCTACTAAGGAATGTCTGAGAGAAGAAATCCTTTCTATCTTTGTCTTTATTTTGCCTTTATTTGTAAAAGACAACTTTACTGGACAAGACTCTTGGTTGGCAGTTTCTCTGATACCCTGATCATGTCATCCCACCACATCGTGCACCTGGCCGCCATCTTTCTAAGAAGTAGTAAGATAGAAGGCTCAGTAGGGTTATTTTCCATGTAGGGTGGGTTTTTTTTTTCTTACCACTTTCAATATTTTCTTCTCGACTTTTAAATTTTTGTAGTTATTCCATTTATGTGTGTGTGTGTGTGTGTGTGTGTGTGTGTGTGCATGTGTGCACGCATGTGTTACTCAGCATGTATGTTACTGCCCACACATCAGTGATCAAAGGACAACTGTGGGAGTCACTTCTCTCCTCTCCCATGTGGTGACCAGGGATGCACTCAGGTTGTCAGGCTTGGCGGCAAGCCCCTTTCACATTTTAGCCCTCTTCTTGTCTTTTATTTAAACATTTTAATGTATTGTATATCTCTTTGTTGGGCTCTTTGCTTTATGGTTCTGACGTATTGGGTTTTGAGTCATCTAGATTGATTTAATCAGACTCAGTCTACTTTCAGCCTCCATTGCTTTGGGCATCTTTTCCTGTCTGGGTTGCTGTGCCTTCCCTTCTGATATTCGTGTTGTGTGTGTGTTCTCGTACACAGTGCTGGTCCATGTTTCTCTGAGATTCTCTTCTCTTTCTCCACTATTACTTCTGCTGTTGTTTTCTGTTCTTTATGTTGCAAAGTCCTTCCCACTAGACTCTGCCTCTAAAAATAGACAGACAGAGGTATATTAAAATAATTCACCCTTCATCTGTCTAGGGACGGACTTTCATCTCCATAGGACTCTTCAACCGTATTTGGTTACTGTCTTTTAATTTTGTCTATTTACCCGCATTCGCTGATGAGACATTTTGATTGGTTTACTTAAGCATTGTTTCATTTCTTTTGTTGTTGTTGTTGTTGTTGTTGTGTGTGTGTGTGTGTGTGTGTGTGTGTGTGTGTGTGTGTGTGTGTGTGTGTGTGTGTTTTCGAGACAGGGTTTCCCTGTGTTGTTTTGGTGCCTGTTCTGGATCTCACTCTGTAGACCAGGCTGGCCTTGAACTCACAGAGATCCACCAGGCTCTGCCTCCTGAGTGCTGGGATTAAAGGTGTGCGCCACCTCCACCTGGCTTTTTAAAAAACGACTATATAATGGCTGTTTCGAAGTAGCTGTAGAATTTGACATTAGGCCCCTTACTGGCCAGCTGTGTTCCGTGTTTTCTGTGTATGAGCCGCACTGTTCCACCTGTTCACATATTTACCTGTCTTCTAGTTTTTCCTTTTTCCTCCTTCCTCTCCCCGCTCCCTTTACCTTTTGCAGACAAGATCTTTTAAGTAAAACAGATGACAAGAGAAATTCCAGATACTGCCCTCTCCCGCCTTTACGGGACTTCTCCTCTCTTACCTGTTCACTGACTTGGCTCCAGTCTCCATGACATCTTACCCTTGCTGGGGCTCCTCTGTGTAAACCTTGGCATGTGCTGCTACCCTGGGATGGCGGTGGCTTCAGCAGAGCTCTTTGTCTCCTTTTCTGACTCTGTTCAGTTGTCCTTCTCTATTACATCACAGCCCAGCTGTTGGCCTCCACCAACGGCCTGATGACTGTTCTCTCCTTTCCAACAATTCCCTAGGACATAAATTGCACCACAATTTGACCTAATTAAATTCAAGCAAGGTATTTTTTTTTTTTTTTGAGGCCAGTCCGTGAGAGATTTTTCTCCCCCCACTTCAGGAATGTTCTTCGTAGTTATCTTTCCCCTAGTTCTGACTAGTAGATTAGCTGGCCTGAGGTTTTACCTTGTCAGTCAAATACAGCTCTTAAGTTCTCACCAAGTCTCCATTGTTTTAGAGAAAGTGAACTTTCCCTCACTGTGTGTCAAAGAAGTTTGGTTTCTGTGAGGAGAACATTGCATCCTCTGTCCCTCCTGGCTGCCTTTCCTCACTGACACTGAGGCTGCTGGACAGTGGCCTGTCTCTCTTGGAGGGATACCTCTGCTTTATGAGCAGAGATCTGAATAGTTCTCTTGCTTATGAGTGGGGACTGGATGAAGGTGGTAACCCCAATCTCCTGTCTGCACTAACCAGGAAAATAGTGAGCCTCTGTGAATTGGGGTTAGAAGGGACGGGAAATATCTCCCCTGGGAAACACTATATCCCTGGACTGGAGCCCCAGGGGCCTAGTCACTCCGTCTCTTAAGCATATCTGCCTGTGTGGAGTTTCACCTAAGGACCACTGGTGGTTGTTGAGCTTCCATACATGGATTTTGTTGAATAAATATGTTAGGTTGTTGAATGCCCTTTAAACAATTTCCAGAAATTTCAAGTGGTTGTGTTCTTACCCTGTCCAGCAGTTAAGACGGTTTCACTGGACATTGGGTCTGCAAATCTCTTGCTGCCATCCCAGAGATCTCTAAAACACTGAATTCCAAGTTACATCACTACCATCACCATCATTGTTTATCATCATTGTCTCCACTGTACAGATAAAGATGAGGCATCAGGAGAATAAGCCATTTACTTAATGTCACACAGTTCAACCAGTGGTGGAGGTTGGATTTGAACCTGGGCATTTGAGTTTCCACTGAAGCTTTCTGCAACACATAAAATGTTAGCTTTCTTATCCAAAGTGCATAGAAAGCCAGGTGTGATGTTGTAGGCCTATGATCTCAGCTACTTAGGAACCTGAGATGGAAAGACCAAAAATCTATGATCTCACTGAGGTGCAGAATGACTTAAGATCAGCCCAGATTTCCCCAGATGGGAAAAAAAAATTTAAAAGAGACTATGATGTAATTCACTAGTACAGAGCTTGCCTAGCATGAGTGAGGCCCTACCTTCAATCCTCAGGACACACAGAGAGAGACAGACAGAGACAGAAAGGCAGACAGACATAGACACATACACACACACACACACATACACACACAAACACACACACAGTGAGAGAGACAGAGAGACAAAGAGAGACAGAGAGAGAGACAGAGAGATTCCTAAGAGTGATGCTTATGAAATTTTCCTTTTTCTAAAAAGCTAAGGATGAAACCTGGGGTCTTTCAAATTTTCATCTACTTGTTATTATTACTGTGTGTGTGTGTGTGTGTGTGTGTGTGTAGTAAGAGTAAAGAAATGGCCAACTCTAGCACTCTGTTTAGTCTTCTTGAGCACCAAGCATCTACCTATACCAAAGTGAAAGACATCTACATTTATAATAGAACTTTGTAGTTAAAGAAAAACAGGCATGAAACTCGATTGTTCAATTAAGTCCAGAAACCAAATACTGACCTTTTAGGATAATAGTTGGCTCCTCTCAGAATGGAAAATAACTGCATGGGAATCAAAACCTGATGTGTGAACTATCCTCTCAAAGGAAGATATTCAAAAGACGTTGGAAGCTTTCACCAGGCAGGAATAGAGACATCTCTATTTTTCACTCAAAAGTTACCATTACTAATGTGAAGCACAACTGTCAGGGAGCACCGCTCCTTCATGCCCACCACTGCATGAAAAGGACATCAGTCCATATTTGCAAGGTGTAAGGAACATGCAACGCCTGGAAACTAGACACAAAACAACTCTGTGCCTACAATGACTGTACACAAAAGTATCTGGAGAGCAGATTTTTAATCGGTGCCAGAACAAGCCTGTATTACATTAATAATAATGTAGAACACATGCTTCCGCGACTGTTCGCTCAACCACAGAAGGAGCCGAGCCTTCACTCCTGCAAGAGCGGGAGATAGGCTCCGTGGGGACACAGCTGGTTCTGTAACGCGGTGGCGGCATGGTGACTAGGCCTGGGAAACTCAGATCAGCTATCAGCTTGCACCTGGCCAAGAAGGAGCACCAAAATAACAATTGTAACAACAACCAACCAACCAGCAAACTACCTATGACCATGACCACCATTTCTCCAGAGGACTCTTCAACGTAACACCGAACAAGCAGAATGGGCACATTTACTCTGAAAGTCAGAGACTGTATTTAGGTGTCCAGAAGACTCCCTCAAGATGCATGGATTTCCCTGGGAAAGGAAAATAGAAGAGATCTCCTGGATAAATTGGGCAGTGGGGATGGGAACATGATGGATGGGGTTGGGTGGGTTGGGCAGGATGGAGGGGGAGAGTAGTAGAAGAGATGTCTTGATAGGGGAGGGGAGGCATTTCAGGGTTAAGGAGAAACCTGGTGCCAGGGAAACTCCCAGGAATTCACAAGGATGACCCCAGCTAAGACTCCTAGCAATAGTGGAGAGGGTGCCTGAACTAGCCATCTCCAGTAATCAGATTGGTGAACACCCTAACTGTCATCATAGAGCCTTCATCCAGTGACTGATGGCAGCAGATGCAGAGACCCACAGCCAAGCACTGGGCCAAGGGAGACAGAAGAGAAAGTGGATAGGGAGGCAGGTGGGTAGAGGGGAGGCAGGAGGGTAGAGGGGAGGTGGGGGAGGGGATAAGAGGACAGGAGGGAGGGGAAATTGCAGTTGCGATGTAAAATAAATGACAAGATTTAATTAATAAAAAGAAGAAAAAGACGACGACGATGACTCCCTCACGGTGTCTGTGGATCACAGGATCAGTCACTGTTCTCTCCTAGTTCTACTTTCTGGGCACAGGACTTTTAAGAACAAGAGAGCTCTCTGGTATGGGAGGCAGGACTCAAAAGCTTTAAGATGTGTACGGTTAAAAATCCCCACCAGGGCTGGAGAGGGTAAGGCACTAACTCTCAAGTCTGGTGACCTGACACCCATCCCTAGTCTCCACAGCGTGGTAGAAGTCAAGTCTCCCCAGAGTTGGCCTCTGACCTCCACAGGCATGCCTGTACTCCCTCTCACACACCAACTAAATGAAGAAATAATACTTTTAAAAAATCATTAGATCCAGGTACAACATACCTGTAATCTCTGCAGGAGGGAGGTTATGGTCGGAGGGGAACTGAGGCAGGGAGATCAAACGTTCCAAGCTCCCGGGCTACGTAGTAAAAACCTGTCTCCAAAGTATAAACAAACGTCCACTAAAGCCAGGTTCTCGGCCACTGACTGCACGTCCAGCACTCGGAAAGCAGGTGTAGGAGGACCACGGTCACTCTGAGGCCAGCTTAGTCTGTACAGTGAATTGCCAGCTAGCTGGGATGACAAAAAAAAAAAAAAAAATGACAGACAGGAAAGCAAATCTTCGTTTGAAATTATCAGAGCACAACTGTAATTAGAAAAGAGAAATTAAGAAGGTATCTGTACACCTAACATGGTCTGCCCTAATGTCTCATTGGCTTAGGATTGGGTTCAGACTACCAGGTCAAGTTCTAGTTACACACAGGCACACACACACACACACACACACACACACACACACACACACACACTCATCTACTACTAGGCCAGGGCTCCTTGAGAGCAGGGTCAGATACTTTCCTATGGATGCCCCTTTGCCAGCCATGGATTGATATCTACCAACTGTAGCAAGAATCTTAGAGGGTCTTATTAATAAAATCAAACCCAAGGCCAGTTATTGGGATGAACACTGGAAGATCAGAGAGACAGAACAAGCCACAGCTAACCTCACCTGGCTAACTTCTCAGCTGATCCTGTTTCCTCAGACTGACTTCTGAGTCCTCATCCAGAATGAATGAATCTCAGCTGAACTGCTGCTCGAAAGCTTGAAAGCTTAACCAGCCAAATGCTTCTAGTTTCTGGTCTTCACGCCTTGTATATCTTTCTGTTTTTGCCATCACTCCCTGGGATTAAAGGCTCACTTCTTGGGATTAAAGGCGTGTGTCACCATGCCTGGCTGTTTCCAATGTGGCCTTGAACTCTCAGAGATCCAGAGGGATTTCTACCTCTGGAATGCTAGGATTAAAGGCGTGTGCTACCACTGCCTATCCTCTATGTTTATTATTGTGGCTGCTCTGTCTCTGACCCCAGGTAAGTTTATTAGGGTGCACAATATTTGGGGGAACACAATACCACCACAACCAACTATCAGTTTTGATGACGGTGGAGACTGAAAAGACCTAAAACCAACTAACAGCACTAGTGAGCAGTACTGTGAGCTGGTCTTGACAGCAAGGAGGGGGAGAGATGTGTTCAAAGAGGTAAGAAAACAGTTTACAGTAAGTCAAAAACTCACATATCTAACCGCACAATATCTCGTCCAGATGTCCAGAGTGTTTGCAGACAGTCTTCTAATGATGTCTTTTTCAAACACTGAAATAAAATCAATCAAGGCTGTCTTTATTTAAAACGTAGAGTAAAGGTTTTACAATCAGTCTCGACAGGACAGTTCTAGGAGTCTGGCAGCTGCCGAGACACCTTGAAACAATCTTATTATTTTTTCCAGTTTTCAAAGACCTGGGCCCCACTGAGGTTGTGATTTCTTTCAGGCCACAACACAAGACACTCACAGAACTGGGAAATAGAACCCGGGTTCCCCATTTTACAGGACATGATCTCTCTACAAGGCTGTTTACTCTAGCTGGTAAGAACCAGCCTCTGCTTTCATGTTCAATTCAATAACTACGGAGACCATGCCAAGTGCAGCGACTCGCGGTGGCTAAAGGGTTAAGGGTGAGCCAGCCTCATAAACAGGGCAATGGTGTGGTCTCTGCCCTCAGTGACTCATGATCAAATGGGAAGGGCTCTTTACACACCCAAGTAACATGTTTTGGTGTAAAAGTTTATCTTGAGAAATAACAACTTTTTTTTTTTTTAATTTCTGACTCATCTAACTTGGGAAACCTTCCCCTTTTCTGCTATGCTCATGTGATCTAACATGCATAATTACCAGGTTTTATGGTATAGGAATCACTGGGGGAAAATTAAAAATTAAAAAAGTTGTCCCCCCACACACACACACAGAGGATGCTTCTCAATGACTGAAAGTGGGAAAATGAATTGCAAACTTTTAGGTGGTACTCCTTTGTACAAAATGCAGTCAAGGAACTGTACACTGGCCTATGAACTTGGAATTATCAAACCAATCCAGAAAGACTATCTTAAGTAAATGCATATCCATGTTAATTCACCTGCGTTTCTCACAATACCACAGTAACCAAAGGGTAGACGTGTAGAAAAACCATAGAGGGCATATGCAATTAAAAGAGGGGAATGGGGTTAATGCTGACTAGCACTGCCCTTGAGGACAGGAATATCTGTCTTACTGATCACTGGAAAAGTGCAAGTTTTCAAAAATGTATGAGGGCTGGAGACATAACCTAGTGGTTAAGAGCACTTTACTGCTCTTGCAGAGGACCTGGGCTTCGATCCTAGCACTCACGTGGTGGTTCTAAAGGAACAGAACTGATTGAATGAATACATGTATTATTGGGCTGACTTATAAGATGCAGTCCAGGTAGTCCAATAAGAGCTTTCTCCCACTGCAGAGGCCGAGAATCTAGTAGTTGCTCAGTGAGGCTGGACATGAAGCTAGATGTCCTAGCAGTCTCAATCTGGCCCTGAAGACTTGGAAGATCCCAGGAAAAATGCTGGTCTCGATCTACATTGGAAGCTGAGAGAAGTAACAATAGAACAATACTGCAGGGTAGAAGGACTTGCAGCGAGAGTGAGGCCAACTAGGCGAAGAGCCAAGCTTCCTTCTTCCATGTCCTTTCGCCTGGGCTGCCACCGGACGGTGCTGTCCACACTGACAGCTGGTCTTCCTGCTTCCAATAATCTGACCAGCAAAATCCCTCACTCCTAGGGGTGGCTTGAGTTTTAGTTGTATTCAGTTCTAAGGATTCCAACATGCTCTTCTGGCCTTTCTGGGCACTGCACGCATGTGGTCCACAAATCTACATGCAGGCAAAACACTCATACACATAAAATAAATTAAAACCTTCTTAAAGACACTGTATGAGTGAGAGTAAGGGACAAACAAGTGGAAGGAGGGAGGAAGAGACAGAAGGAAGAAAGGGAGAGGAAGAAGGAAGGAGTACTGGTCTGCTGAAAGCTGAAACAGCCGCATCAAAGCAGGTGTCTGATGGAGTCTGCACTCCAGGCAAAGTGCTAGGAAAGAGGAAGAAGGCAGCCCAGGAAGAGCCCGGGCTCCTGCTCAGTTCAGGCTATGCAGGCTGTGCACTAGTGCTGATGATGTCATCTGCAGTGACTAGAGGGTGCTGTGAGCATGGGTCCCAGCAGCCCCGGGGAGGAGAAAGACTGGAAAAGCGATTGCAGAGTATGGATGCCTTCTGAACGCTCCTACACTTCGTAAATCAGGATTGATTTGGCTGACTAAAGTTGCCTTCCAGATTATAATCGAAGCAGAAGTAGGGGGCAGTGTGCTGTTATAGAAATATTTGTGACTGCTACTAACATCACCAGGGAGGCTACCTGGAAAACAGGACCCCAAGAAAGACACGGGGATCGCCCAATGATGGAGAAATGGATGAGATCTACATGAACAGCCTGGACATGAGTGGGGGTAATGAAGGGCAAGGGTCGAGGGAAAGAGAGCTTGGGGGAGAGGGAGATCCCAGCTGGATCAACAACAGAGAGGGAGAACAAGGAATAGGAGACCATGGTAAATGAAGACCACATGAGAATAGGAAGAAGCAAAGTGCTAGAGAGGCCAACAGAAATCCACAAAGATACCCCCACAACAGACTGCTGACAATGGTCGAGAGACAGCCCGAACTGACCTACTCTGGTGATGGGATGGCCAAACACCCTAATTGTCGTGCTAGAAACCCCATCCAACGACTGAGGGATCTGGATGCAGAGATCCATGACTAGGCCCCGGGTGGATCTCTGGGAGTCCAATTATCGAGAATGAGGAGGGTTTATACGAGCGAGAATTGTTGAGACCAAGGTTGGATAAAGCACAGGGACAAATAGCCAAACGAATGGAAACACATGAACTATGAACCAATGGCTGAGGGGTCACCAACTGGATCAGGCCCTCTGAATGGGTGAGACAGTTGATTGGCTTGATCTGTTTGGGAGGCATCCAGGCAGTGGGACCGGGTCCTGTGCTCATTGCATGAGTTGGCTGTTTGAAACCTGGGGCCTATGCAGGATTGTTTGGCTCGGCCTGGGAGGAGGGGACTGGACCTGCCTGGACTGAGTCTACCAGGTTGACCTCAGTCTGCGGGGGAGGCTTTGCCCTGGAGGAGGTGGGAATGGGGAGTGGGTTGGGGGGAAGGTGAGGGGGGCCGGAGTGGGGAGAACAAGGGAATCCGTGGCTGATTACCTTTATGTGGATTCTAGGGATTGAACTGGGGTCATCAGGCTTGCTCAGTAAATGCTTTCACTGAGCCAACAGTCACTGGGTTAAATTTTTGACCTTTCTACTTCTTTAGCTATGCAACCTAAAGTTCCTTGAAGAAAAAAATATTTGTCTCGTTCATGAATTTATCTCAGTACCTACGCATAGAATGTATCTGATAAATACCACATGGATTTTAACCACATATTTTACACTCAATTGTTCATTATCTATAAAATGAAGTCACTCTCAGAGTTCACCTGACACAACAAGAAAATGCCCACAAAAGGCATGTAACAGAGAGCCAGGCACACGATGGCTAATGACTAGACGTGATAAGGCTAGGTAGGGCACATGTGGAATCTTAGTCCTTGGAAGGTAGACACAGGAGGATCACCACATTTAAGGCCAGTCTGGGTTATATAGATAGTTCAAGACTAGCCAAGACTACATAATGAGACCATGTCTCAAAAAGAAAAACAAAATAAAACAAAGAATGGAATGAGGTAAGTAGGAAGGAAGGGAGAGAAGGAGGAAAGGAGAGATTGGGAGACTTGTTTGTTTTGGGAATGAAAATCTTCTGTCAATTTAAGTAATGAAATGTGAGTAGTTTGTCTCATAAGCTAAAGGACAAAAATGAGACACTAACCACATTCAATGTTTGTGAGCCCATTGCAGGGACAGAGATGTTTCAGACAAGTAGAGAGCTTGCAATTGTTGCAAAGACTTGCGTGGCATCCAATGGGCAGACGTCAGAAATATTCAACGTGGGGGGTTCCGAAACCAAATGCACAGCATGTCCCAAGCTGCTCTCACTGAGGAGCGTAGCAATCTTTAAGGGGCTGTCTACAGTACTGTTGTTGTCCTTTTTAAAAATGGTTGCTGCCTTTTAAGCCACTGCTGTCCGAATCAGCAACTGCAACTCCGCCACCACCAGCAGGGGTTAGGCTGCAAGAGCCACAGCCCGAGGAAATTCTGCTCCCTCAGGCACCGACTCTTTCAAAGCTACAAGGGAACTTAACTAAAGCTCTGTCCCTCTAAAGAACTCAAGAGTCAAAGGTTAAGGTAGAATTCTGCTCCTCAGAGATGCTGAAGAGCAAGGAGCTCCCCTCCCCTCTTTGCTCAAGCCTCCAAAGAGCCCTCGTGCCTCTCCTCACCCTGACTTAAAAATCCTTCTCCATCTGGCTCCTCCCTATCACTTCCTGTCAGCTAGTTGCTGACTCAGCCTCCTGAGCAGGTGAATTTTATTTAATCAAACACATCTTTGCATCATTAAACAAATGTTCCAGAGCATAAACAAAAGTAACACACCTTAAAATAATATTTTAGAACATTCTCCTTTTTGTCTAAACAAAAAAAATGAGAGGTTTTTAACTTTAACATAATAAGATTGTACACAATAAGAACAATTATCAAGTAAAGATTATATTCACAATGTAATGAATTCCAGTTCATTTGTGTTTGGTAAATTAAAATAAAATACTCCATTATCTATCCTATCTTAATGAATCTAAAGTTTTATACCTAATTTACTCTCTATCATAACTAAGGAAAACCGCAACTATAACTATCTAGTCTTCAACTCCATGAAAGGCCCCAGAAGGATAATATTTTTTGAGTAAACAAAAAGTGCATTGCAAACAATTTCCAAAACTCCAGCAACAACAGAGACATCTGACTGCCTGGAAAGTCAGCCAAAGTTCCTCTTGCAACATTGGGGCATTCATCTTCAACCTACAGGCCTAGAGTATCAGGCAGACTTCTCAGTGAAGCAGGAAATTTGAAAGACTGTCTTGCCTTGTATTGGCAAAGTTCATCAGTCCCTTTTCTCTGTGTCCTGCAAAATATCTGGCAGACTCTTCTGTGAAGCAGGAATTTTGAAGGACTGTTCTGCCTTGTTTTGGGAAAGTTCAACAGTCTTTTTCCTCTGTGTCCTGCATGTCCAGTCTGCACAGCACATTGTCAGCAGTCAAAGGCAAGAGCAGTTTCTTTGCCCGTGGCTAACCTT